CGAAACGACGACGAACGGACGTATCGAATCCGCCATCGCATCGTTGCGCCGCCCGATCGAAATTTCGAAATTTCTTCCCTCTCGGACACAGGAATCTGTGTACGCATCTGCATTCCCGATTAGTCCTGCCGGCGGAAATTTATGAGCTGACGTTACAGGCATAAATAAAGTTAGTATTTACCATACGTTGAGTACCACTGTCGCCGCATGATCGCGCAACGACGACGACGACGAAACTGCCGTTCGTGGACCTCCTGATGAATGCGTTAAACGCATTAGTATTCCGCGAGCGCGATTATTCGATCGCGAAATCTCGCGAAAATTACCCCGTACACGACACTACACAGATAATCCCCTTAAACGGTGGAACGAATGAACGTGAAGAGTAACTCTAGAACTGTAGAACGTAAAGAATGTAACTTCGTGAGAAAAATCGACTGACAACTACTGATCCATAAATTATTCAATACATCAATGATTATTCGATCGTAGCACTTTGAAATGATTCAAAGATATTGTTTAGAATTTTCCTGATTTAATGTGACACGTTTGTGAAAACAGGAACTTTAATTTATATGTAAATATTGATGGTTAATGCATTGCGTGCAAGTGCTAATTAGTACGTTAACAATATTAGCGATATGGTGGCTAGACTAAATAGTATTCTATATGAGCGCGCATTAGCCTCGTTTACACTCCATTATAAAGCCAGTATCTGTCGGTGAAAACTTGAATTCATTCTACTACCGAGCAAGGGATAGCTGGCGCATGTGGTCAGACTCATGCTCGAGATACGTATCTTAATAAGCTGTGTTTGTAAGCTCAGACAAAATTACCGCGTATGCTCTCATTTAACCTCATATTTACAATATCCGGAGATATAATTGGGTTAGGTTAGGCCAAGTCTTCTATGTAAATATGAGCATATGCAATTACACAGGCACTTAAATTCAATTTTTTTAATAGATCTATTTGCACTGATATATAATAATAGTAGAGAGAGACACATTGTGTATGCATTAAATTCCGTATTCTTATTTTAGAATTTTTTTTAAATATGTCGTATTGTCGATTGTTAATAAATAATCCTTTGGGAAATAAAAATGTGAAAAGAACGTGGGAAAAGTGAAATACGACTTTATAGAGAGAATAATTTCAAACATAATCCGTATTTGCGTCAATAACGAGATCTCTCGGTATGTAATCGGTTTAATAAATTTATAGGAAGAATATAAAAAGTATCGGCGATATTTTTTTCCTATTACTGGCGATTCGCGCGAAAAATCCAGCGAACTCTTGTGACTCATTCCAGTTAATTAATTTCCACTTAAATTAGCTATTGAACAATGGTGATGTCTCTATTGACAGAAATCGATTTATCAGTTTAGTCTTTCTTCAAAGGTTGGAGACCGCAGTCGCGTAACGAGCGAGAATAAAATTATTAAAAAATAAACGTCGTGGTCGTTTCTTTCACTGGCGAACATCTTCCGCACGTCTAGTTTATGTAAAAAACGTGACCGCATATATATCACATACGTTTCGGAAGAGTCTCAGTGATATTTCAAGGGTTACTCAGAGACGCGTGTCGCATCATCCACCACACACGAGGCGCATCCCCTTTACGAGTGCATACCACGTACATAGGCTGCACTTACGTGCCTCTTGCATTTCTGGAACGACTACTTTTTCGGATAAGACGAGAGCACCATGGAAAGGTTTTCATGCGACGCTTCGACCTACTCGACGAATGAAAAGTTCCCGAAATTTTACGGTGACGTTTTTTAATTCTCGAAAATGGACATTGCTTCTATGCTTTATAAATGGATATTCATCTTCAAATATTATTATTATAAAAGTTGCGAAAATAAAACTCCACATGACTCAAACTTTAAAATATAATATTACTCAAAATACAAAATTCATATGAAGGGAGGCTTAAATATATATATATATATATATATATATATATATATATATATATATATAGTATATATTTGAAAAAATTTATAGCAGTCATTTCTATGCTATCTGCTCAAAATAATGCAAGTTTTAAACACTCCCATTATAAAAAACAAATAATTTAAAAGTTAGTTTAAAAGAGCTTCTGTTCAGATTGAAATATTCGCGTATACTTAAATGTAAGTTTAAACACTAAACGTAATAACAAACAAAAAAGGTAATATAAAAATATATATATATAAATACAATGTATTATATAATAATAATAAATTAATTAAATAAATTCTTATTTTAAATCAGAAATTATAAAATATTATATAAAATTCTTCAGTAAATTTTTTTGCATGAAACGAAGGAAGAACGATCAATTTTTAAGCATACATTTAAGCACACGCCATTAAGTATGAAACTAAACAGAACTCTTTCAGATCCTGACTCTTGATAGATTAATTTTATAGCAGATAATTTTGAAAATATTTTAAATTAAATCTAAATTTTATATCCTTATATTATTATATATATATATATATATATATATATATATATATATATATATATATAATATCATAGATAAACTTTTGTGCTGAATAGTAATTATTTTTCTTTTATACGCAAATAACAAATATAATAAATTAAATCCAAGTTATAAATTTCACTCACCACATGATTGCTCCGTTGTTGTTCCGTTGATGCTTCTCTGGATTTTCTCCTCTCTTTTACATCCTTGGTTGCTCCTTTATGGCACTCATGCGCAAAAACACTCACTCGCGAAAACATAATTAATTACGATTGTCCGCGCACTAAACTGAACGAAACAACGATCGCACAATTTTGTACATTTCACATTTTTCATCTTTATCACACACGACGCACATTTTATTTATATTGATTTATTTTTTGATGTTTTATGGTATCACTGATTTCATTCTAATACAGCGCGATACTATGTTAATCGAATTAATAATTAATTATGACGCGATTTTTCAAAATATATAATCGAAATTCAGTATCTTGAACACATTAAATCAGCAAAATAAATGTATTATTCATAACAACAAGATATAGTATGTCTATTATTACTTGAATCAGATTATCGTTAATAATTCGTCGATAATATTTTACATATTGTTTATCGCGGAAGATAATTAATTATGTAAGTTAATCACTAATTGTAATGATTAGATAAAATGATCATGTTTCGAAAGATAATACGACACACGGAGCGAGCGGCTTACATCGTTGTTTCTTGCCCGAGTGTCGGCGTACGAATAACTCAAGGATAGCGCGTGAATGACCGTCGCGCACATGATAACAAGGTCGAGTAACAATAAAGCTATCACGTTATTCAGTATAAGGAATAAATGCGGAATCTGATATGACGTGTTATTCTTTCAAAGATATAAATGTGATTATTCCTCACAAATTAGAAATTAATTTAAAAAATAGATATTATCAATCCGCATTAATCATTTAATTAATTAATTATGTTCGATTTTGATGATGAATCATAAACAAACGATTATGTATCAAAGCAAGTATTTCGCACGCGTTTTATACATTTCAATAGAAATCAGAACGACAGAAAACAATTATAAATTATAACTTTATTACGATATTTAAAGTAAATTATTTCTTTAATCTTTGATTTCAAATATCTTACATGACATTGTGAATTTTTCGTTAATTTAAATATAATTTGCTCATTATTTTCAGATTGAAAATATGTAATATGTAATACGAATGTAAAATTGAGTAATTCAAATAACAAAATAACATAATATATCAAATACTTATTAAAAATTATTTATTTAAAATTGAAAAAAAGAGAATATATTTTACATTAATTTATTTCATAATGTAGGAATGTATTTCGTAATGTAGGAAATACGCGGGATATTAGAAAAAAAATCTTTTATTATTTATATACCTTCTATTATACACAAGTGTGATTCAGATCTCGACCAGGACTGCCTCTTTTCAGTTCGCAATTCTTACCCCGTCTTTTGGGTCTCATACGTGGCCCAATCAGCTCACGACACGCTCAGCTATATCCAAAGAACGATTAATCGCGAATATTTGAGATCAAAATACAAAAACGAGGCATTACAATAATAAAGTCAGAGCGCAAACACAATTCGAAAATAATGATTTAACGCGATCAAGTCCTTCTCTACAGTAATATATTAAATATATTTCATGGCGGTAGAGCGAATTTAACGATTACACGGTATTTAATTCTCGGTTTATTTCTCACGGCGTAAGAGCCGTATAGCGAGCGCGCTTTGTTTATGTGACCTTGTTATCATCGGTAGTCTTCGTACGACGGAGCTTGAGTGAGCACGCAGCAGCGCAAGTCTCCATAGATTGTTATATTATTTTTAAAAATGCGATCGTTCCTTACAATTTTTACAATTAACGACCATCAGTCCGCACAATTAATCAACTATTACGATAAATGATATATGAGATGTGGTTATTTGATTCAAGTAATCACGAAAATATGAAATATATTCGAATATGAAATGATTATTTATTAATAATACATTTGTTTCATGAATTTTATTGAGATGTATGGCGCAATATTGAATTTTGATTATATATTTTAAAAAATTGCGTATTAATTAGCCATTATATTTCAACTAATATAATATTGCATAATATCGGAATAAAGACGGTGATATCATAAAATGTCATGAGCACAAAATAGATTCTGAATTAAATGTTGTAATCCATTTACTTAATAAATAATTAACCACACAGGAAGTTAATTATCGAGATCTGATAATCGTTAATTATTCGTAAGGAATAATCGCATTTTGTATATTTTGATATTTGCGTAAGATAATAAAATATAAATAACATCGAAAACACAAAGTGCTGCGTGATCAGTTTCTGTTGACTGTGTGGATGATCGTAATTAACTAAATTTTCACGAATAAATATTTTTACGTTTGAGTGCCATAAAGGAAAAAGGAAGTGCTAAAGTGAAGTGATAAAGTTAAGGATGCAGAAGAGAGAAGGAGAAAGCCTAGAAATACGTTAGATGTCAAACAATTATGAGGGTAAACAATTATGTGAGTAAAATTTATGACTTTTTATTTATAATATTTGTTTGTGTATAAAATTAATTGCTCGTTTATTTTTGCCATATATTTTATTATAAAACATATTTGCACATATTTGTAAATTTATATCTTTCTTTCTCTTTCTCAGAGAATGAAATTATTAAATTCGAATCTAACACTTTCATTATATTCATTTTTAATTTATTAAAGAATCTGAGAACTTCTTTCTGAAAATGTTAAGCTTTTTAGTGAAAAAATTTGCAATTTTTTTTAATACACAAGGATTAGATAACAAAATTTCTCACATCTATTTAAAAATGGTCATCTTTATGCGCGTTGCGTGAACTAATATGATTTTTACGTGCCACATTCCGCCGGGACATTTTATCGTAGTCAGTCCCCGGTACTTACTGGCTGTTGCAGCGACATACCACAAATTTTTCAAAAAGCCGAGCAGTGCAATAATGGACTAACGTCCGGTTACGTTGCCCGTGGTAAAATAAAAAAATAAACCAAAAAAATCGTCCGAGGTGTGTCTTCTTTTTCACCTTCTCGACGCGGCCGTTCTTCATTGCATGCATAATTATGCGACTCACGTTCGGCCATGTCGCAGGAACACGAGGATGCAACACGCGTTTCTGAACGCGACGTAAAACGCACCGTTAAATTAGCTCCGCATAACGCCTGTCTATTAAAGAATTCCGTAGATGATACGCAATTTTATCTTCGCTTGCAGTTAAGGTGATACTTTAACCGAAGTACGAGGAACAATTTAGCGCTGATGAAACACATGGTGCTACTTTACGAGCGACTCGTAAAAGCCTCGACTCGCATCGGGTTTTCATCATCAGTTTACTTTATTGATTATCGCATCGAAAGTGATGTAAAACAAAATAGTGAAATAATAACTGAATAATAGGATATATATAAATTTATTTTAAAAATACTGAATATTTTAAAGAGAGATGTTTTAAATTTTAATCGATTTTTCCTTGTGTACAACAGAAATTAAGTAATGCGCATTTATAACTTGTTTTTCACAGGAAAATATTTGGAAAAAAAATGATTCGCCGGTTTTATAAATCTATTGTACAATTGTGGTGTTTTGATTAACAAAATATCGTTGAGAGCAGAATTTGCAACTTTTGATACGGTAAACATTTATGGCCATCGTATAAACAATCAATATTATGTGAATTTTCACATAATATATAATTGAGAGCGAGATATAAATGTAAAATATTTAATACAATATAAAATATTTAATATTTTTATATGATTTAAAAATTGCAAACAGCTACATATTTTACACATGTTTTCGTGTATAAATCTTTACATATTCCAATAAATCGTATTTATTACAAATTTCACTAATCACAACAGATGCTTTAATTAAATAAATTATAAATATCTCTACATAAGATGATAAACAGAAATATATTAATGAGGTAACATTTTTCAAAAGAGATATGAAGCACCATTACAATAAAAATCATAAAAAGTCTTCGATAAAAAATGCATATTTATAAAACATTTTATATCATAAGTATTCTACCTGTAATAAAACGATTTAGACAGATTTGTCGACCAGTACCAGTTTATAATATCGTTGAAACGTCCGTCATGTATCTAACTTACCTCTAGAAACAAACTATGAAATCATTCGGATTTCTACGTTATTCGCGGCACATGGATATCCGATTACGAGACTGTCGGCAATCACGGTTCTTCATTATTCTCGTTTTTCGGGCGCGCGAGCGGAGAACATCCATCCCGAAATAAACGCTCACGTCGCACGGCTTGATAGAAACGCGAGACAAGATCGATACGCACATCGTGCTATGCCGGTTGCCACGCTATGAAAAGAACTCGAAACTGGCACCGACATTGCCGCGTAAATAATTGAAACCACGAAATGGATACGTCAGTCGGCGTGATTTACATGAATGTTTGATACGTCGTCGCCTGCTCAAAATTTCGGATGCGATTGCTAAACGTTTTCTTCTTGGCATATCTTTTAGGATTTTATCGAATGAGATTTGTTTAGGATTGTCTTTGACGAGCATATAAATGCATTATAAAGAAATTAAATGAGAAAAGGATGTTTTTTAATCTCACCGTGTTTCACTAAATGTATTCAATATGTAATTTTCTGTTTAATATAATCGTTCAAAATATTTTTTAGTTTACAAAATATTCAATATATCAATTTCATATTCTTTATTTTATATTTGTTTTGTGTTTGATTTACACATGCATTGAGATTAAACGTCCCTCTCTCTCACGTACAAAAAATTTCTTCTAGGATGAAATTTTATAAATATGTAAAAACGGGAGTAAAGATTTGTAAACAGAATGATTCTGCAATATTTCGCGTCGTTGAATCATGCGGCGAAGGTGACACCGGCGTATGAATAATTGAGATCACGAAACAGATGCAGTGAACATTTTCTTGAAAATTTAACGAGCCATCATTCTGTCGATCTGTCTCAATCGAGATCCATCTCGAAATCTGCGATCGCGTTCTCTTCCGACTGGAAGTATGTTTTTCAACGTCGGTTCAAAAGAATAGTCTAAAAAAACAAATGCATTACCAATCGTGTTGGTGGAAACTGCGAACAAGAGGGCAAGAAAGAACGGTTGAACTGAAGCGAATTTAGAAAATGAGAGGATATAGCACGGATTTGCATATCATTTTATATATTCCGAACAACGCTGCCTCTTCTTGCATTTCGTCTCGCACCCTGCTTCGCAAAATTTTCTAAGGCAACCGCGTGCCTGCGAAAGCCGTAGACGCGCTGAAAAGTATAAATTTCAAAATCGATTCCATATTTGTTCTTGCCATGCTAGATTTCTCGTTACACGATTTGATATGCACCTTGTTAATTTTAATGAAAACGCGTAGAAAATAATGAAAATAATCTTCTTTGCCATCATTATTCTGTGTTGAATTTTTAATTGATAATTAACACACTATTCTATGTTGAATTTTTAATTGACAGATAGAAGACAAGATTTACCTATACTTTTTTTTTTCATTTCTGCAATTACACAATGTACATCACAATGTGATTGATGAACAATATAATAATATTCATCGATAACAAAACTTGTACAAGTCATGAGGAAATAAAGTGTTGAAAACGCGTTTCACGGTGATGGGTGCAATCGATCGAGTGTTATCTTTGATATCACGCTACGTGCTTTTCCCTTTTACATTTCTTGTTGACGTTGAATAGAAGATGGTAATAATTCAATACGCAAGACCATTCACTCATCCCACCTCGGGTTAACCGAAAAAGGGAATTCGGAATGAAGAGATTTGACGCCTTCCATGAGGCAGACTTCCTTTTTGTCAGATTTCATTGTATAGAATTACGCGAAGAGAGGGACTCAGATGAAATACATATATAATACATATACAATAATTCACGGAGGAAACGGTACTGGCGCGTCGTAAAAAGATTTCTATTAAAATACAATTCGTGTGGTTCATCATATCACAAGTTGACAGTGAAGAGAGAATTCAGTGATCTCTTTCTCGCTATAGAAGTCATGTCGTGCTCTGAGATAGTGCTACACGATGCATAGAGTGCTTAAGAAAATGAGAACTTTAATCATCGGCCAGTTGTATCTAGTTTTTTTCAATGAGCAATGCTCCATTATTTTTCTCACAGAACAAACAAAGTTTCTAACCGAAATTAATTATAAATCCTTCGATGGATTATAAATTTACAAACGAATTCAATTTTTTTTTGCAATATCGGATGATAATAATAAGATTGACAATAATAAATATAAAAATATGAATGATATCTATACATGTAATATCCAGTATGTATCTATACATTCTGGTGAAAATAACATATTATTCTCGAATGATTAGTTTACATATTTCAAGAAATTTAAAAAATTTTTTTCTATTATTAAAATATTTGTTTTTAAAATAATAACAATATGTGATGGTGCATAACTTCATATTTAAAATTTAAAAACTATTAAAACGTAAAATAACTGTGTTGATATTTATATAGTAATGCATACATAAAACTTTTTTTTTATTTCTGGATATTTCCAGATATATTTCGGTTTATCAAGAGGAACATTATATTATATTCAGTCTACGGAACATTATATTATGTTCTGATGATAACAAAAAATTTTTACGAACGATTATTATGAAATGTCATTATCAGAATTTATTGAAGAGCAATAACATTTTGATATTTTATTTTTTATTCTTAACTAATGACAAATAGTTATTATATTAATTAAGAATAAAAAATTTTGCATAATTCAACAATCAAATTCGAATTTCGTTAAATGTTTCATGAAAATTGTTGAGAAAATTTTTGTCAATTTTTTTATTATCGTTATTTTCCACGATTGCATCGTTGCCATTTATATTTTTTTATATATTTTTTATATTTGTCTTTCTGAGTATAAAACAAATAATTTATATGATTTTATCTCCATTAGTTTGTACATATGTATTATATGAACGAACATTTATTTTTTTCTTAACACGTCAAGTCTAAGCATTCCAACGCAATCTGATTTTCACGACTCATGTAAAGATTGTTCGAAGAGAGACTAGCAATTCTTTCTCGAATCTTACATTCCCAACTCCAGCGAATCATTAGTATCTGTCAGAAAACATACAGAGAAACGAGCGGGGACAAGCAGGAAACAAGGCGAAGACATGGAAGGAAGACAGAGATCGGGGAAAAGGGGGAGGGAAAGAGCAGAAACATCTCGTGCTCGTAATATCCAGCCGTCTCTAGGATACAATGAAAGTTTGGACGAGACGCCCGCGCTCGGCTACCCTCATCCCTGTTCTTTTTTTAGTCGCGCTATTTGTCTCCGGACTTCTTCGTTCTCTTCTTGAGCAAAAAAAAAATAGCGGCAGGCAGTGGAAACACAACGGCCAAGGACACGGTCTGCCTCGGGTAATGTACGAAAAGCGCTTGTTCATATCCTCTCGTGGCGGCATATAACGCCGTCAAGCA